GTCGTGGTTGGCCGCTCCCCGGGGAAACTCCCTCAGTTTCCGGCCGCTCAGGATCAGCACCCCGGTTATCGCCGCCTCCTCCAGCGCTCGATCGAGGGAACGGCTCCACGAGCCCGGGCCAGGACCGGGACCTGTCCCGGCGCTTGGGCCGCAGTTAACACCAGAGAGGTTGCCTCCCGACGCTACGGGGCCAGAATGTTCTGCAGCTGTGGACACAGCGACCAAGCCCGCGGCCGCCATTTCCCGGCCGACAACTACCCAACCCGCCGGCTCCGCGCATGCGCGGCTAGGCTGGTGGGTGGGCGGGGAAAGGGACTTCCAGACCCCGGACCTTTCTCTTGACGGACAGGGCTGCGGAGCCCTCCACGCATTCAGGCGCTTGACTCCGCCCCCGAGGTTTTAAAGGGAAAAGAAAACACAAATCTGCAACAGCCGCCAGAAGCATTTTTAAAATGCCTCTACAAAACTATCTTTAGGACAACGCTCCTCACAAAAACTTCTCTCTTCCTTCTTTTCTCAGTACTGGAGGATTGAATTAAGCTTTAAATTTAGGCTTCTTAACACTGTTGCTGCCAGAAACTTGGGCAGGGAGAGAAGGGGACGGCATGAGGAAAGTAGGGGCACTCAAGACTGCCATTACTCATGCCCCCACTCCTCATGCCCGCCCCCGAAAACGTTGCGATTTAAAAAATTTCCCAAATTGTCATTCTGTAAACCAGATGATACAAATGGAAACTTGTGGATTTATTAACTATTATTGCATGAGGAATAATAAGGGCTAAACTGGCTCCAAAAACTCCATAGGTCTCATTGAAAAGGTTACATAGGTATTTTAGGCCCTCCCTCGCTTTTATAAAATAGTTAACAACAATATAAAACAAGCATCTTAAATAGTACTCATCTTTTAGGCAAGAACAACTTTAGGCATTAAAGTCTAAAATTTTTTAATTAAATCTTTATTGTGCAGATTATTACACTTGTTTCTCTTTTTTCCCCCCATAGGTCCCCTCCACCCAGTTCCCACCCCGCCCTCTGCCGTCACCCCCCCGACCACTGTTCTCATTCATAGGTGTACGATTTTTGTCCAGTCTCTTCCCAAACCCCCCACACCCCTTTCCCCTCAAGAATTGTCAGCCCACTCCCTTTCTATGCCCGATTCTATCATAATCATCAGTTCATTCTGTTCATCAGATTATTTATTCACTTGATTTTTAGATTCATTTGTTGATAGATATGTATTTGTTGTTCATAATTTCTTTTAAAAATATATTTTATTGATTTTTTACAGAGAGGAAGGGAGAGAGATAGAGAGTTAGAAACATCGATGAGAGAGAAACATCGATCACATCTCCTACTGGGGATATGCCCGCAACCAAGGTACATGCCCTTGACTGGAATCGAACCCGGGACCCCTCAGTCCGCAGGCCAACGCTCTATCCACTGAACCAAACCGGTTTCGGCATAATTTTTATCTTTACCTTTTTCTTCTTCCTCTTCTTAAAGGATACCTTTCAGCATTTCATATAATACTGGTTTGGTGGTGATGAACTCCTTTAGCTTTTCCTTATCTGTGAAGCTCTTTATCTGACCTTGAATTCTGAATGATAGCTTTGCTGGATAGAGTAATCTTGGGTGTAGGTCCTCATTATTCATCACTTTGAATATTTCTTGCCACTCCCTTCTAGCCTGCATAGTTTCTGTTGAGAAATCAGCTGACAGTCCTATGGGTACTCCCTTGTAGGTAACTGACTGTCTTTCTCTTGGTGCTTTTAAGATTCTCTCTTTGTCTTTTGCTCTTGGCATTTTAATTATGATGTGTCTTGTGTGGTCCTCTTTGGATTCCTTTTGGTTGGGGTTCTCGGCCCTTCCTGGACTTGTAAGTCTATTTCTTTCACCAGGTAGGGGAAGTTTTGTCATTATTTCTTCAAATAGGTTTTCAATATCTTGCTCTCTCTCTTCTTCTGGCACCCCTATAATTCTGATGTTGGTACGCTTGAAGCTGTCCCAGAGGCTCCTTACACTATCTTCATATTTTGGTATTCTTTTTGCTTTTTGCTTTTCCGGTTGGGTGTTTTTTACTCTTCGTACTTCAAATCTTTGACTTGATTCTTGGGATACTCTAGTCTGCTGTTGGATCTCTGTATAATATTCTTTATTTCAGTCAGTGTATGCTTAATTTCTAGTTGGCCCTTTTTCATATCCTTGAGGGTCTCACTAGACTTATTGAAGGTCTTACTAAGTTTATCGGCGGTTTCTAGGAAATTCTTGAAAAACCTTAAAACCATGGTTTTGAACTCTATATCCAGTAGTTTGGTTTCCTCCATTTCTGTCATTTGTGTCCTGTTTCTTTGTCTCCCCATTTTTTATGCTTCCCTGTGTTGGTAGAGTGGCTTTGTGTGCTAGGTGTCCTATAGGGCCCAGTGGCTCAGTCTTCCCAATGACCTGAGGTGGACACTCTTGGTACACCCACTTGTGGGCTTCTTGCACAGTCTTGTTATAGTTAAGCCATGATTGTAGTTGGTATCACTGGGAGGAATTAACCTTCAGGCCAATTGGCTGTGAGAATCAGCTGTGTCTACTGTGGGAGAACTTCTGTGCTAGAGACACCCTTATGGGGCAAGACTTGCTTCAGTGGGGCTTTGCTGCTCACTGAGTCTGCCCCTTAAGTGTGTCGCTTATGGATGTGAAGTGTTGTATTCTGTAGCTACAGTTTGTTAATTTTAGATTGCAAAGGGCCAGGTCATTCATATGCAAAAGCCTCTGGGCACTGCTTGGGTGGGGCAGGGACTCAGGGAATCAACAGGGCGGAGTAAACAGCTATGGCTGATCCTCAGTCCTGCCTTAAGAGGTCCCAGGTCTCAGTGTCCTGAGGTAATCCCTGCAAGCACCTCTGAGAAAAAGCTGCCCTCGAGTTCTGCCTGCTGCCAGACAGTCCAGTTTCTCCCCGTATGAGTCTGGGTCCCCAGAGACTCTCCGGGAACTGGAGTTTGGGCCGTCGGGAGCTTGTGGCTCCCTCCTGATTGAAAAAGACAACCACGTCCTCAGTTGCCAGCCCTTTCTGCACGCGCTTCCGAACTTCTGCACTTTACTTCCGCAGCTCCTCTGAGTCTCAGTGTGCTTTTTTAGTTGTAGAATTTCCACTCAGCCAACCTTCCTGTGGTTCTGGATGATGTCTGTTTTGTCTTTTAGTTGTATTTTTGAAGTGGTTGTTTACCTATGCCACCATCTTGGTTTCTCTCTAAAGTCTAAAATTTTAGTCTGGAACCAAAATTGAGGAGAAAATGATCTGACTATAATCTAAATGAGGAAATTAAAGGTAGAACTAAAGAAAGTGGTAAACACACACACAGACACACACACACACACACACACAAAACACAATTTAGTTTCGAAAAAATGGAAAATACATTTTAAATCAGCTAGATTTCACTTATAGTGCAGTCTTCAGCATATTATTGGGTTTGGGGGTTTAAGGTTTTATGTGGGTTTTTTTTTTTAATATACTTTATTGATTTTTTACAGAGAGGAAGGGAGAGAGACAGAGAGCTAGAAACATTGATGAGAGAGACATCGATCAGCTGCCTCCCGCACATCCCTAACTGGGGATGTGCCCGCAACCCAGGCACATGCCCTTGACCGGAGTCAAACCTGGGACCCCCCAGTCCGCAGGCCGACGCTCTATCCACTGAGCCAAACCGGTTTCGGCTGTGGGGTTTTTTTTTATTGGTACATTTAAGTCATTCCTGATACATGATGTAAATTTCCTCAACAATCAATCAAGTAATTACTGTGGGAAATAGAAGAGGCTGTCAGAAAGCCATTTTACTAAATTATAACCTAATTATAGACTTCAAGTAGACCATTTAGAGAACAAGAAAAAGGATCTGAAGAGGGGTGGTGTGGATAAACTATCAGAATTCAGAGAAACGGAATCTATATCATAAATTAGTGAGGTTTTGAATCAAATCTGGATTAAGTGAGGTAGGCTGGAAGGTGAGAGCAATATTCCAGATTGGGAGGATCAGCATGGACAAACCCAGATATAACTTATAATGGATACTTGTGGAGAACATTAAGGCCACAAGCCAAAGTTCATGTCAGAGAGCAAAAGAAAACAAGGTTGGAGAGAGCCTACTCATCATTCAAGGCCCAACTCTTGAATGAAATCTTTTCTTTTTTTAAATATATATTTTATTGATTTTTTACAGAGAGGAAGGGAGATAGTTAGAAACATCAATGAGAGAGAAACATCGATCAGCTGCCTCCTGCACACCCCCTGCTGGGGATGTGCCCACAACCAAGGTACATGCCCTTGACTGGAATTGAACCTGGGACCCTTGAGTCTGCAAGCTGACGCTCTATCCACTCAGCCAAACTGGTTAGGGCTTGAATGAAATCTTGATTAGCACTTTCCCTGACTCCTAAACCTAATAATCAGAAGAGATTGTAAGAATGTTTAGACACAGTACCAAAGATAATTAGTATCGGCTGCTCAGAGTTGTTCTATGAACTCAAGACTACATGTTAGGTTCTTCAGCAACAAGTTTCATGTTCAATTATCAATGCCATTTATAAGCATGGGTTACTGCAATGGCAAGTGATATATTTGTTATTCCTGGCAAATAACATTTATCCAATGCATTGTTCCTATTCTGGTATTCCTAAAATTTTGTTGCTCTTAGAAAGAGTTTAATCTCATTTTGGTGTTTGTTTTTTTCCTTAGAGATACAGTATTCCAACTAAAATGACTAAAAGCATAATCATATATTCCATGCTAATGCTACACTATAAATGTACTTGCCAGATCTTTCTAAAATGCACCATTATGTCATCTATATTTGATTACTTATTACCTTCCACATTTACACTAAAGTCTTCTGACAAGTTCTCTATAATATAATTCATTCCAATCTAACTGCACATCTACACTAATAAAAGAGAAAAATGGTAATTGGCGTACGACGCTACCCTTTTCATTGGCTAATCAGGGCTATATGCAAATTAACTGCCAACTAAGACTGGCAGTTAACTGCCAACAAGATGGCGGTTAATTTGCATATGTAGGCACAATGCAGGGAGGCGAATTGGAAAGCAGGAAGAAGCC